AAAAAGCCCTTCTATACTAGAAAAAGTATAGAAATCTATTATATAGGACTTTATAGTTAAGCTACTATAGTTTATTAAACCTATAATAGGTATAAAGTATAATACTATATTAGTAATTACAGACTAATTAACTAAATATATATACTTTATCCCTTACTAAAAAGTATTAACAGTAGAAAATCTGGCCTATATATTTTTAAAGTATATTATTAGCAACTACAGGCTACCCTAGGAAATAATTTTAGACTAAAATAAGCTCTTTATATTAAAATTCTAGCAGACCCTTACTATATAACTAGGAACAAAGTATAAGCTTTCTACGGCGTTTTACTCTTAGATAGACGGGTAAATAGAAAGGCTTAATTAGACTTTAGAATAGTACCTATAATACTATATTAATTATAGACAGGATAATTAGGTATTACTACTACTAATAGCCTAGTTTGCCTATAATAGCGCATCTATAGAGATAATAAAGGTATTACCCTTTTTTATAAACTATAGTTTTAATCTAAAAGCGTATTAAAAACCCTAACTTAATAGTATAAGGGCCTAGAGGGTACTACTATTAGTTAAAAATATTAAAAAGCTATAGAAGCAGCTTTTAATAGATATCTAATTCCTAATACTAAGGTTAGTAAAGTATTATAACTAATACTAGAGTGTTGCACTAACCTTTAGAAAAGGGGATAGAGTCTACCTACTTTGCAAAAATATTAAGATAAAATAACTAAGCGTAAAGTTAAACTATATTAAGATTAGACTATTTAAAATATAGAATATTATTAGCCTAGTAAACTATAAGCTTAGGCTACCTAATAGGATAAAAATACACCCGGTCTTCTATATATTGCTACTAGAACCTGTACTACCTAATACTAAGCTAGAAAATAATATTAAGATTAATAATAATAATAAATATAAGGTTAAGTAAATCCTAGATTCCTAATAATATAGTTAGTAAAAGAAATACCTAATTAAGTAGAAAAAATACAGCACCTCTAAAAATATATAGGAACTAGTTAAAAGTTTAGTAAACTATTAGGAACTCCTGCAGCAGTTTTACCGCTAGAATCCGGAATAGCCTAGAATAATAGCAATATTACGCCAGCTAGCTAGGAAGAATCTAATAGATTAAAGGACCTAGCAGAACTAAACACCTTAAAGAAAGGCGAGGCTTCCCTTTTAATATACTCTTATTTTTTCTACTTAGCCTTCTTTTAATTATCTTTCTTAAGCTCTTCTAGAGTTTTAAAACCGCGATATATTATTTCTTTGCTATACTTCTGCAATAGCTTTTTTTAAGAATCTAGATAACTAAGTTTTATTATAGCAGCCTTTTAGGTATTTAGAAGGGAAAATAGGGCTGTATAAGTTTCTAACTTTTTATAATAAAGCCTATCCTTTTTATAAGCCAGTTTTTACCCTAATAGGGTTAGATAAAAAAGGGGTATATATAATAATAGACTATACTAACTTGCAGGCAGATGCTAAAATACTAGCAATATTATAGTTTAATTGCTGCGCCTAAACATAGGCTGCATAATAATTAGAGTTAGATATAGAAACTATATAAGATAAACCCTAAAACTTGCACCGGGAATAAGGTATAACTTTTTAACTAAACGTATTAATATAATTTATAAGTATAAAACAGCTTTTTTATTTCTTAGCTTTTAAAGTATTAGATATTATAAAAAAAGAAATAGAATAGCATAATAACAGCCTAATAGATAGGGTATTACCAGCTATTTATCTAAAACCCTACTATAGAAATACTTTTAGGCTAAAAGCCTTAGAAAAGAGAGTAAGTATTATAACCTGCAATATAAACCACCTAAGCGCAGAGGTACTTATAGAAATAAGTAGATAGATTAGACTAATTATATAGAACTAGGTTATAGGACTAAAAAGGTTATATATTAGATATATAGGAATCCTAGATTCCCTAATAAACTGCTAGTAGATAGGAATAATCTAAGAATAGGATATTATAAGAATAGGGTTATATAATAGCTTATTAGGCTTATAAAAAAGGTAAGTATAAAGCTAAGAAAGCGCTTAACCTGCTTAAGGCACTTAAAAGCCGTAAGCTTTATAAGTTAGATAAGTAAACAGGTTTTTTAAAACGGAGCTTTTATATATAAGAACGCTTTTTTATATAAATAGGAACCTTATATTTAACTTAAGACTTTAATACTACTTATTAGAAGTAACTACCCTATTTTATACCTAAAATTGATTTTACCTTACCTTTTAAAATCTATTGCACCCCGATAACAACTTAACCTATACCCTGCCTTAGTGTATAATACTTAGAAAGTATAGAAGAAACAACCTATTATAGGTTATATTACTTTCTTAGTAATAAGGTATATAGGCAGCGTGTATTCGCAGTTTAGATCTTTAATAAATTCTTCTTATACTTAATATAATCTATTATTTCAGGCCTATAGCCCTTACACCTAATTTATATTACTATTAGGGCCTTTACTGCTATAGCTATATATATTATATTTCCTTAAGCTTTTAATTTGCTAATACTTTTCCTTATATTTTTTATTTCCTTTATTAATTCCTTTTATAGCGCGTTTTTCTATTTATCTATAGTTCTTTATATATAGTAGAGTTCTTTCTTAGTATCTATAAGTCTAAAGAACGTATTATTAATATATATAACTATAGCCTAGAGGAAATCTATACTAATAGTATTAAGGGGCTAACTCTATAGGGCGTTTTATATTTATTATACTTTATTAAGTGCTCTTATAACACTTCTATATATATTAAAAAGGGGCTTTTAGTTATATTATTATTATAGGTGTTGTTATTATTATTATTGCAAATGCAATCTAAGGTTAGGGGTTGCGGGAAAGATTTAACCTACTGCATGTTACAACCCGTAATACGAACCACCCGAGCGCAGAGGCACTCGCGGAGACAAGCAAGCAGATAAGACTAATCACGCGGAATCAGGTCACGGGACCAAGGGGGTCACGTGTCGGACGCATAGGGATCCTGGATTCCCCCACGGACTGCTGGTGGATGGGAACGATCTAAGAATAGGACATCACGGGAAAGGAAACACGTGATGGCTCGTTAGGCTTATGAAGGAAGTAAGCGTAGAGCCAAGAGAGCGCTCGACGTGCTCGAGGCACTCTGGAGCTACGAGCCCAGCGAGCAGAACGAGCAGATAGATTTCTTAGGAGTTACCTTTTGTATTTAAGCACACTCCTTTGCATAGATAGGAACCTCGTGTTCAACTCAAGACTTCAATACTATCTATTGGAAGTAACCCGTCTTAGACCTGAGATTGATTCTTGCCTTACCTTTGGAAGACTATCGCACCCCGACGACGACTTGACCTATACCCTGCCTCAGTGTATGACACTTAGAAGGTATAGAAGAGACGACCCGTTACACTGCAACACCACCACCGCTGCCCGGAGGGCTTTGTAATTGCGTACGATTGCTCTAAGTGCCTTAAAGAGCCCATTAGAACTCCCTTTGGCTTCGATTTCCAACGGCTTGTTAGGACGACTGCATCGTGTTTTTTATTTATAATTATCTAAGTTAAGTTTTAAAAGTGCCGGCTTTTTAAGCATATACTTCTAGGTAATTAGGGTTAGATTAATTAGATCTGCTTATAAATAAAGCCTGCCTTATATAATATTATAGACCTGCTTTATATCTAGTTGCCTAAGAGGCATGCACATTATTATAGTGTAGTTTGTTCGGACGCATTTAAATGTGTTATTGGCTGCCTTAGTCTGTTATTAAAACTTATATCAACTATATAGGGCTTCTCTAATTTAAATTAATACCTTAGATACTGGTTCTACACGCTGAGGACGACTAGATCTGGGTGCAGCACTCTTGTGTGCAAGAAGGAGGTCGATGTTGGTGGAGTTGGCGCGTTTGTGGGCTCTCGAACAGACTGCATAAGCGCCAGCTGCTGTTACATCCTTTAGCGGGCTGGCAATGTCGGGAAAACTGAGCCCATCGTGGAAGCGATATTGAAGAATGATTGCACGGTAGTTATCACTAATTTCAGCCATTGCGTGGTAGAGGAATCATGCTTCAATTTTGTTTACATACTCCGGAAATTGGCGATAGTGGCCCGTACTCAACAGACTTTTGCAGTCGTACGGCAGAGATGCACGTGCAGATAAACGTAAGGGTGAATGTTCGGAGGCCTTCTGCCGGACCTCCGAGCCAATCAGAAGCGGTAAAGTAGGGGGTGTATGATCATTCGAAAGGGGGTGCACGATTATTCATTAGGGGGTGTACGATTAGCCCTCCCCAATAGAAATTCAACAATACTTAACCCTTTGATCAAGGGTCCTAAGATATTAGGTTCAACCCTCGCAGTCCAGGCTGCGTATCGTATCCATGAGTGAATGCATTAACATGCGCGCCTCCAACAGTTGCTCGTACCCGAAATATCTCATCGCCTAGAAAGTAATCAAGCAAATTTGTATAAGTCATCTCGATTTGAATGCTGGGCTGATTCGGTTGGATTGCGATCCTGGATTGCTATGCAGGAAGGGTGCGGCACAGCATCCATTAGCCGCCCAGGACGAATATGAAACCTCCAAGAGTGGAAACCATGAGGGACACCATCCTCCCGCGCTCTTAAAGACTCATGCCTGGGATTGTATTCCTTCAATCGCGCTTCTTTTGATTCCTCGGTCTCATCCAGTCATGTTTCCACCCCAAGTCTCCCATGATGTTGTCGCCATAGAAAACCCGGACCCTGGACCCTACGACTCTCCCAACGAGTTGAAGAAGAATTCTCCGTACAAGCATTGGACGAAATACAACGCATTCTATGGGCTTTTTGTGCCTACAGTTATATCAACGTTACTATTAGCAGCAAACTCCTTGCATTGGACCATTTCTGGACATGCGTATAACTTCATCATCCTGCATCGGGCATCCGTCGGGTTTGCGGTACAGCTACTATCTTCTCTTTTCGGCTTAGTTCAAGTCACGGCCATATGTCGTCTGATCAACTATGCAACTCGCTTGCGTTTCAACAAGTCAGTCGTTACCCTAGATGTCCTCCGAGCATGGATGGATATAAGCATACCGCGAGTCGACTGGGACCTCCCATTACGACTGTTCTTTCCTGTCCTCATTATGGCTTCTTTCGGGGTTATCCCTTCTGCGTTGTGGGCCGGCGCCATAACCCCGATCCTGACGACTGATGCGACTGTGGCTACACTCCAGCTTCCAAGCTACTCGAACGTCTCTTTAATCAAGGAGTACCCTTCCGAGATTCGACAAGGAGGACCCACTCTCCGCACTACGCAGGGGTATTTCACCTACAACGTGGGCACTCAACTTGTTGGAGACATCCTATCCTCAGGGGCGTCCGCCACCACCTTGGACAAGAGTGTCCGGCAACATTCCAAACTCGACAACACACAATTCAGTTACCTAGGTCGTTCATATGGTGTCGGTAGTTCTGTTGGCCTGGGCGACGAGAACATAAGAGCCTTGGAGCTGGCAACGGGATACACCTACCAAGAGTCAGGCTATCTTCCTGAAGTCTCCTGCACCTACAACTCCAGCACTGAATTCATAATTACGAAAGATGTCGACCAATGGATGTGGATAGCCGGCGGATACCTCCCCGATAGCGTCGAAGACGTTACTGTCATGCAGACTGTCGAGTACAATAACTACGTAGGCCACTACTCCGACGCTATTGTTGCAATAGGAGTTTCACACTCGCCTCTATCAGAGCGACGATACCTCGCTATTGCCTCTGGCAAAGACTATGCGTTCCTCAACACGACTCAATGCTCCTTCGAGTTCACACCGACTCTTTTCAACATATCTGTCAATCTACCCAATCGCACCATTGCTGTGACTCCTGGCCAGCGGATCCCAGACTTCAATCCCGAGCGCAACCTCACCCGCACTGTCGTTCGCCAGTTCTCGCTGCTGTCCAACGACCTCACCAACTTGTATGTTTCGTTGCTGGGGGATTCTCTTAACTCCAGTATCGCAGCATACAACATGTCCATGAGTGCTTCGAACGCAACGAACACGGAAGCTGATGCTACTCTCGCTGGCCTAACAAATTCTATTACTGCGATGACCGATGATATGCTATCTGCATACGCTGCGGCACAGCTCATGGTCGGCCAATTCTCAGAGTCACGAACAGCGAAAGTGAACAGGAACGCACTGCGATTTGGTCAGCCAGCCTACGTGTATGCTGTCTTTACGGTCAACTTTGTGGTTCTGCTAGCTGTAGCCGCAGAATCGGCTCGAACGCGTGCTTGGATGAGCTTAGGAAGCTTCGACTTTTTGGATCCAAGAGCTTTGATTGTCGCCGCGTCGAGAGGAGGAGGGATGGGCGTAGCAGATGCAGTTGACGGTATGGGGGCGGGCATTGTACCCAAGAAGGAGAAGGCGAAGAAAATGTGGCTGTTTAGCGATCGAGATGAAGGGATCGGCGATGTGTCCGTAAGACTTGTAACCAAGGACGGTGATAGGTTTGGGATTTCTTTGGGTAGAGGAAGAGTGAGTGAGGACGAGTTGGAGAGTAAAGTTGCTCATGTTGAAGGAGGCTGGATCTAGATTGTATTTTCGGCGTTTCATATTAATGATGTAATGACACTGCTAGCTTTTCCATAGATACTCATATCTAGCCACAATTGACGAGGGTGATACAAACTGAAGACGTACCTGCATGCATCAATCACGTGCCATGCTAAAATGACCTGCTTTCAGCCCTACAGATGCCGCCATCCTTCGCTCCGAGGTTCCCCGCCAACCCCATAGCTCTCCCCCACAGCACCATTCACCAAGATGTGACCACCCCACCGTCTGGGCTTGCCCACCCATCTCCTCCCAGCCCAAACAACCCCAACCCTCCACCAAACACCCTCCCATCCACCCCAACCTCCGACCTCCAACTAGCGCACAACCACCACCATGCTCCTCCTCGGCCTGACCGGCTCCATCGCCACGGGCAAATCCACCGTCTCCGCCCTGCTCTCCAAGCCGCCCTACTCCCTCCCCATCATCGACGCCGACCAGCTCGCGCGCAAGGTCGTCGAGCCCGGCACCCCGGGCTACGCCGCCATCGTGCGGCACTTCCAGCCCACGACGCCGGACCTGCTGCTGCCGGAGCCCGCGCACGCGCGGCCGCTCAATCGCCCCGCGCTGGGCCGCCGCGTGTTCGGCGCCAGCGACGACCGCGTGCGCGACCGCCAGGTGCTCAACGGCATCGTGCACCCGGCCGTGCGCCGCGAGATGTACAAGCAGATGGTGTGGGCGTACCTGCGCGGCAGCTGGGCCGTCGTGCTGGACGTGCCGCTGCTGTTCGAGAGCGGGTGGGAGCGGTATTGCGGGAATATATTGGTTGTGGGGGTGAGGGACCCGGGCGTGCAGATTCAGAGGTTGAGGGACAGGGATGCGCATTTGAATGAGGAGGATGCGAGGAATAGGGTCTTGAGTCAGGGGGATGTGGCGGAGAAGGCGGCGAGGGTCATGCGGAGGGGGAAGGGGGCTGGGGCGGTGGTGTGGAATGATCGGGGGAAGGAGGATTTGGAGAGGGATGTGGCGAGGGTCATGGAGGAGGTTAGGAGAGGGAGTCCGGCGTGGTGGAGTACGTTGCTGTGGGTTTGTCCGCCGCTGGCGGCGGTGGTGGGGGTGGTGAGTTGGTGGAGGATGAGGAGGGTGCAGTTGCAGTGGGAGGAGGAGAAAAAGAGGGAGAAGGCGAAGCTGTGAGGGGAGGGGATGTTGAGTATACCATGAGCAGTAGACGAATGGTTGAAGCTTGCTAGAAGGGTTTATATATACTCCAGGCTTCGTGTACATGTGTCACAAATAATGTACAAGAGCTGTAGAGTAGTTCAAGTTATAGAAGACATCATATATGAAGGGCACTGTTTTCTTCTGGCATAGTCATTAAGTTGGAAAAGGGATATCATTATAAAAACATTGCCTCACAACTCACGCAATCTTCCTCCCCACGTTACCCACTCCCCTTCCGACAATACTCACCACGATGTCCTCACTTCCTCCTCCAGCATCCCTCAAGCCCCACGCACTGCATCCGAACTCCCTCAAGTCTCTGCCTAGTCCAATAATCTCTTCAGAGCCAACCACATTTCTTCCCATCTGCAGCCTCCCAACGTCGCCGTCTCCCATAGCCATGAGCATCAGCATCGTCGGTGCCGCAATCTTACTCACACATCCACCTGCTGCTACCGTTTCCAGTAATTGAAATGCACACTGCCGTCCCACACTCTCCGGTGGCTCTCCTCCTTCAGGTGGACTACCCACATCCGCCGAGTACAGGCACCCCGTCGACGTCTCTGCCACCAGCAGTATCCCAAACCCAATTCCCAACTTCCTCTTCGCGCCCGGATTGCTCCTATCTTGCGACGGTAGTAGCGGAGCAGGAGACACATCCGACGCAATGAACGTATCTTTGCATAGCTCGTTCAACACACCCCTCGCCGACTCAATCATGCGCGCATTATTCGCCGCCGCAACTCCAGTCGCATAAGCCACCCCTCTTATCTTCTTCACCCGTCCCGGATTCATCAGATGCAGCGTCTTCGGTAACCGCACCTGGTGTCCAAATATCAATTGAACCTCACCCGCACCGCCTTTACCTCCAGGACCCGGACACGAGCGCTTCAGTATCCGTAACTCGATGTTCCGCTCCACGCCAAACTGCGCGAAAAGCGGGAGGATAGCCGTGCGCACCGCATCCACAGAAATATCCCCCGTCGGCGTCGCAGATGTGATACATCCCGCACCAGTGAAGATGACGTTGACCGGTGCCTTCGAGAATGGCGCGAGAAGGCAGAGCGGGAGTAGGAAGTAGCTCACGCCCCTCGTGCAGCCGGCTTCGAGCTCATGGCGCAGCACGCCGCCAGCGGTGCCGAGTCCGGGCGCGCTGCCGGTTATGAGGCCGGGGCGGTAGACGAGGGTGGTGCCGGTGTAGTCGAGGTCGATGCTGGAGCCATTGGTGATGGAGTCGAGGAGGCGGAGGAAGGAGACTTCGTGCGGCGCGAAGCCGGTCGAGGATATGCTGGTTGAGCGGACTTGAGAGATGCGGATAGGACGGCCGGTGAGGGTGGAGAGGACGAGGCGATTGATGAGGGACTTGGAGCCTGTGAAGCGAAGAGGGGGTTGGGAGGGTCCGGTGGACATCGTGGCGGTAAAGGTGTATTTCTTTGGTGGTGAGATTGAGTTGGAGGTGCTACAAAAAAAAGTTGAAAGAGGTGCGGAAGACCTCCGCATGTATTTACTGCTTCAGTCTTGATCGTACTAACTCCAAAGTTTCATGAGTAGATCTGAGGTACTCTTTTATACCAGAATTCTTGTTTATAGCCGATTGCTTCAATATTGCGTGAATGATCGAGGATAGATGTGCCTGTGGTCTTGATAGGTCTCCTACCCCACTAAATTTTCGTTCGACTAGCGCCGCAGGGACCGAAAAGTTCGAGCTTTCGAACCTCAACTCTTCGACCTCCAACACAAATTTCAAAATACAACCACAATGGCGCCCGAACTCACCAAGGCGCAGAAGCGCAAGAGTAAGCTAATTTGTTTGCATTCACGCTGCCATTCAATAAGCTAACGCATTTCCTAGGCACCACAGACACCTCGCCCAAGACCAAGCGACCGAAGAAATCAGAAGCACCTGCGACAGAATCTGCGCCCGAGAAGGCGACAAAAGAGGAAGGAATTGAGGTGGTAAAGAAGGCGTCCAAGGAGAAGAAGGTACCTAAGGAGAAGAAAGTGCCCAAAGACGAGGTCGCAAAGCTGGAAGAGAAGGTCGAAGTGAAGGAGACGAAAGCGCCGAAAGAGAAAAAAGCTCCCAAGGGAAAGAAAGCCCCCAAAGAGCCCGAAGTCGCTGGAGAGAAACTATCGAAGAAGGAAAAAACTGCAACCAAGGAGATAACCGCCAGCAAAGAGGATAAGAAGGCGAAGAAAGAGAAAAAAGACAAGCCCGCTTCTACGGTTCTGCCCAAGCGGGCTACAACACCGGATACAGCCTCTGATATCGAGGTAGTTACTGAGACGGTGCCCAAGGCTAAGAAGGAGAAAAAAGTCAAAGCTGTTCCCAAAATCCCCGCCAAGCGCGCTATCACCCCGGATACCGCCTCCGATGTCGAGATAGTCACTGAGAAGCCACCTAAGGCTAAGAAGACGAAGGTCGCCGCTACTGAGGATAGCAAGAAGAGCAAGAAAAGCAAGAAGGAGAAGGTTGTTGCGGTTGTAGTAGAAGAGTCCGACAGCGATGTCGAGGACGACCAGACCGCCGCCCTCCTCGCCGGCTTCGAAAGCAGCGAAGGTGAAGCCGCTGCTGAGAAGGCGGAGAGCGAGGATGACGGCGAAGGTCTAGACCTAGATCACTTGCCCGACGTCCCCGCCTCCGATGCCCTGAAAAGGCAATTGAAGCAGGCCGGCCAGAGCGGCGGCGAGCCAGGTGTGATATACGTTGGGTAAGCCCCCCCATCCCACCCCCTAAGCCTCACTGAAACATCCCATCCCTAACACACCACAGCCGCGTCCCCCACGGCTTCTACGAGCACCAAATGCGCGCCTACTTCTCCCAATTCGGGCACATCAAGCGCCTGCGCCTGTCGCGCAACAAGCGCACGGGTGCCAGCAAGCACTACGCCTTCATCGAGTTCGCCTCGGCCGACGTCGCCGACATTGTCGCCCGCACCATGCACAACTACCTGCTCTTCCAGCGCCTGCTGCAGGTGCGCGTCGTGCCCCCGGCGCAGGTCCACGAGGAGCTGTTCAAGGGCGCCGGCAAGCGCTTCAAGAAGCCCGCGCCGCGCAATGCCTTGTGGCGCAAGGACTTGGAGCACGGCGCGGACAGGAAGAGTTGGGTTGGGATGGTCAAGAAGGAGCAGCAGAGGCGGCTGGGCAAGGCGGAGAAGATGAAGAGCGTGTTTGGGTATGAGTTTGAGGCGCCGCCGATCAGGGAAGTGGACAATGTGCCGGTTAGGACGAAAGCAGTGAAAGCTGCAGTAGAGACTGCAGTACAGGCTGCTTAAATTGCTTTTGTGTGTGGCACTCAAAATGGGTTGGTCGGCGTTTGCGGCTCTCTTTGTCTTGTAGGCTGCACGTTTTATATGAAAGCCTAGGAATTCGACGACTATTGCATGATTGGAGCTCACTTGTAGACATCATATCACTCTTGCTAGATTGTGGAATTGTTTTTATGAAGGTTTTTTCCCTCAACCGCAATTAACTCCTGTGACGGAAAGGTAACTGGGTATAGTCATTTTTGAAGATGGGCCTTGCCGCTAGCTCCTATACCTCAATGCACTTCCACCCCATCCCCATCCGCCATCGTCAAATCCTCAAACTCATCCAGCAACTGTTCCATCGGTATAACGGGACCTTCCTCGTCATCATCATCACTCTCCTCCATCGCGTCCACTGCCGCTTTGTCCGCCTTCGCCTGCTGCTGTGCCTTGTACACCGCCAAGCCAGCCCTGAGTTCAGTATCTTCTTCGACGTCCCGAAGGAACATCTCGAAGTCCTGCTCCATACGTGCCTGGTCCTGTTTCCGTGGTGCCATCTCCGACTCTTCCTTTGCCATGCGCTTGAGACGCCAGTTGCGACTCTTGCCCTTCTTGCGTCGCGGGTAGTGCTTCTTCACTAACACTACATCCGGGATAGTGCTCGCGTACTTAGACTCTTCAAGAGCGTCGAAGTGCTCGTTGTTGTAGTTTGTGCCAGTGATGAGGTAACCCATGACAGAGTCGCCAGGGTGTAGTACACCGCCAAGATGCGTCCGGGTGTAGAAGGTTGCATCGTTAGCGCCCATGTCAGAGGCCCGCGCGACAGTAGCTTCAGCGAGAGCAAACCGACCCTTCGAGGGGCCGAGTGGTTCAATGTCGAGGACAACGAACTCGACGAGCTCCTGAACGTCGGCTAGAGGGCGGAACGGAGCTCGCCAGTAGATTTCTGTGGAGACATCGGCGGTCTGTAAAGTCGTGACATCTATTAGATTCACTGAGGTTCCTATCCGGTAGCAGAGTGTGAGGGGGTTGACGTTTCCGATGGACTTGGCGAGCTTGATAGGAAGGGCCACCAGATCGTCTTTGCAGATGGGGATGAGCTCGATGGAGAAGGTGAATTTGTATTGACTTGTCGATGTGTGAATGTCTTTGCTAATGAGCTCCGATGACTTCTTCATGTTGCAGGGAACAACCGATTTTAGGAAGTCTATAAGATGGTTAGTATTGGGATATCAAGTTTGCATTTCCAGTAACATACCAACGAATTTCTCAGCAGAATTTCGTTGTGCAAAGAAGAAGTCGATGCCCTCTGATGACTCTTTGATGTTGATCGCATTGTTGTGTGCCTAGGTATCAAAGTTAGAACGCTTTTTTTGCTTGAAAGGGGTAGCATAAAATACCTGGTGTTTTAGGATGAGCTGTTCCAGGAACAGGAATGTGCGCTTATGGGGAACTTTCTACGATGAAGTCAGTTTAGACACAACATGAAGCAGACACTGGCGAGACAGACCTGCCGAACTTGGACCACCGCCCTCCAAGTATTGTGTGTGTAACTCTTCGCACACTCTGGGCACTGCTGCGAGGCCTGCACAAACTCCACATCAAACGTCTGCTGTAGAATAGCTCCTTCGAACTCCGACTGTATTGTGATCTTCACTTTTATCCGCCTCGAATGCGGCTCCGTCCAGATGAAAGATGCGTCTGTGAGTCGGACCTTGTTTATGCCACGAAGCTTTCGAAGGCAGATAGCGAGTAGTGCTTGACTCTCCATTTGAGCTACGAGCCATTGATTCGGAGGTGAAAGCCATCGGTCGCAATCGCGGCATTGGTGGAGTGTGCCTTCGCGCTGGATTCCTTGGGTGATGTCGATGGTGGCTTTTATGCAGTCGCCGCATAGTGCGCCAGCTATTCACTATTAGTATATAAGAAGAGGCCTTTGTCGTAGGAATGCTACCTGAGACTGTGCCGTCGATGGGTGCTCCGCAGTTACAACAAAGGATAGTAGCAGTCTTTCCAACTCCCGGCTGGAAGCTGATGGGCTGGTCAACCTCCATAGACATGGTGTCGAAGTTGAGGCTGGGTGGTTGAATAGGATTCTCTTCGAGATGCTCTGGCTGGTCACTCGCCTGCTTCGTGAAGTCAGGCCTGAGGCGGTTCCCAGTGATCGTGCTTTCGGGAACTCCCCAGCTGTGTAAGAGCGCCGTCGAGTATATGGTGATGTAGTAGGAGTGTGAGGGGTTTGGTTTTCACAATGACGAGGGGCGATATTTTTTCGAGAGTCAATATTCGCCCCACCAAAGCCTTATCAATCAATCGACCAGTCAATCAGCACGTGACATTCACGAGGACCAGAAGATGGTTCCAGAGCAGAGCTATGTAGAGTCAGGATCTGGATTTGTGTACACTCGTCTGACACTGCCTGAAGTACTTCAATAAAGTAATCAAAATTCTGGACAGACGTCAAGTTCCTCTGTTCAAGCATTGACACTGCTTGGGTCATAGATCAGTGTAGCCTGAAATGCTTCTAGATATCATAGAGAACTCATATACTTCAAGTTATCAAGCTCACGGACACTACCGTCTGAGGTAGGTCAGCAAATTTGCCTCTGGTTCAAGGCAATACGATTCCCTCTCGTAGAATCTGTTGAAGGGTTTCGAGGGGCCTCAGACAGCGACATACAAGTGTACACAGATCTATGTCAAGTCATTAAAACAAGCTTTTGGTTTTATGGATCGGATTGGTAGTTGTTTTAGGGTCATCCAAGGGGCCTTTATTAGAGACGGAAGCGTTCTCAGAAGTGTTACCCTATCGCATCTCGTGGTATCATTGACAGTAAAAATACATCTTGAAATTACGCCTTGGCTGACTTCACCTTTACCTTTTCGGCCAGCTTTTTCAAGTCTCCCACATCCGCCTTGTCCTCATTAATCTTGGACTTCTTCGCCCTTTTGTGACTTGGATCAACGCCCTGCTCGTCTTTGCCACCTTTCCTCTTCCGTCTGCCCTCTTCCAGTAGTGCCTTCATCCCCCCAGTGGCCTTGAATTTTGGATTTGAAGGATCGATAGAGTATTCGTGATTCTCAAAGACTCGCGAGAATCGGGGGTCCTTGACGTCCATTTGGAAAGAGTCCGTAGAGGTAGCCTTCTCTTCATCACCTTTCTTGCCCTTCTTCTTCCCCTTTCGCTTTGCTTGCTTCTCAGCCTTTTCGATCTCATTCATGTTGAAGTGCCGAATACCAGCAGCGCCCATTGCGTTCTCGTCCACCATGAGCAACTCGAGCTCAGCACGTTGAGCCGCTGAAGCTGCCTCCTCCTTGTCTCGTTCTTCGCGCTTTTTGGCTTTTTCTGCCTTTCGAGCAGCTTTCGCATGCTCGCGAGATAGGGCCTCGGGGTCGTCGAAAAAGGGGTCATTAAAAGCGTCTTCCCCGTCCACTACTTCCACCTTCTTCTCCTTCGATGGCTGAGGTTGGGTGGTCAAATCAGTGCCGCTCCGTTCGGCCTCGCGTCTCTCCTTTTTGCGTGCCTTCTTCTCCTTTTCCTTTCGTGTATACTTCTCAATTGTTGTCTCGTTATTGTCCGGCTGGTTCTCAAACACTGAACCCTTTGAGGCAGACCCGGAAAGGCCTGCAGAAAAGGTGATTTGCATGTCACCCATAGGGGCGCCTGCTTCCCGCTTCTTTGCTGGCTTTGATGATCCATCGCCTAGTCCAAGTTTTGCACGGAGAGCAGCCGCTTTGTCGACTTTTGATTTACTTCCTGCGGCAGGGTCCTCATCTTCGGCCTCGGAGCTGTCGCTCCCGATATACGCCATTAAGTCGTTTTCGTCGATCTCTTTACGCGAAAAGGCACGCTTCTGCACTTCTTTTCGAGTATTGTCATCCGCGTCCCACGTCAGTTTTACCTTGCTGTGGGTCAGAGCGTCGGTCACAAATTCGTTCGGCCGGTAGGAATCGGGTAATGAAGTACACTCATCGCGGGGCTTATCGTCGAAAGTTACATCATCGGGTACAAAGCGGAGATCGAAGAAATTGGCGGAGGAGAGGTATTCCCGTCCGTCCATGTTATCGTATAGCGATTTGGCAACATTTGTGGAAGAACAAGTTATGACGGCGTAGTAGTAGCGTAATCGATCAAGCTGATAGGCACGTAGAGCCGAAGAATTGAAGTCGTCACCGTTGTCCTCTTCGAGCAGGCTTTTCTTGATCTTTTCGTCCTCGGCATCAGAATCGACGTCGGAAGCTTCTGGTGATTCGTCGGAATCCAGTTCAGCACGCTTTGCGGCAGCAAATATCTCTTTTGGTGGTCCTTCTACCCGTTCCCGCTCCAGCCTCTCGCGTCCGAATTCACTAGGATAGACCGTTACGTCGAGGATGCGACCTTCTGCTGGCACAAAACTTGATGAAACAGCCCATAGGTCCACTGCGCGGATATTGTCCCAGTCGAGGTTCACGACTGCTAACCGTGATGAGGCCTCCCCCATTGGGACTTCTACACTTTGCGCCAATTCGGCTTCTTCCACGTCTTCGTCCTCGACCTCGGCCTCACTTTCGCTGTCGTCGTCTGAAGATGATGAAAAGCCACCTTCTCGTGCTGGATCGTACTTGGCACCCACTCTCTCCAATTCTTTCTGGACAGCTTGGTCGTTATCACTCTCGTCTTCGTCCTCATCTTCGTCTTCATCCTCATCTTCGTCTTCATCTTCACTTTCTTCTAATTGATAGAATTTCTCCAGCCCTTTTCGGCCTGAGTCATTGGCGACTTTCCGTCCATACCGGTCGACGCTAGCTTTTTGGGAGAAGTCGGCATCCTTGAGCATGTGCGCAAAGCGCTTGTCGAGTTTCGTATGTGTGTGTCTTCTTGATGGAAGCCGATACCGCGGGTCAGTTTGGAAATTTGCAAATCTTGGGTCCGTAGTGGCCGCATCCTGGCCCTTTGAGGCCTTTTGCGACTTTGGTGGTGCCATTTTGTGAGACTGTAGATGGTAGATTTTCGCGATCAGCAATTTTGGTGAGGCGGTTAGAAAACTTTAGTCGTACCGATCACGTGAGCGACCAGGGTAGGTGACGCGCATAAAGCTTTTCACAACTTACGCTAGCGTCGTCCGAGGTGCCAGAGAGTTTACAAATTGCTCCAAATAATGGTGTTTGAACTTTTGAAAGTATGTCGAGGCCACTCAAGCAGTGGCAGACTAGTGTACACAAATTAGCTACAAGGTAGATTCTCAAATTTCCCTCCAGTACTAGGAAATAGATGAAGAGGCAGGTAGCTAACGAATTACGTCTTAACTGAATTCAGAAAATGGGTGGAGGTACCTCAGACAGCGGTCAGCGAATATACACACTTATGAGGCCTGATCAGTAAGTCGAGGTATGAGTGTCCTTTCACACTCTCTAATGCCTAGTTGGGAGGTCTACGTATGAGTTCTAGTGAGTTTATAGGTTACTTGAACCAGCTGATTCTACCGTCGATGGAACCTTTCTGGGACTCACTAGACTGCCGGCACTAGTATTGCATAAGCGGGATTTGTGCATGCCAAGGTGACAAGCGACCGGGATCTGCCGCCTGCGCCCCCGGGATCAGAGACGTCAACTGTCGCCCATATGCCTTGCATCTTCCGACCTTCGTAACCCATCAAGCCGCCCCCGACTGTCACGACAGATCGCCTGAACTCACGATACACCCTCTACTCCTAGCATCGCCTTCGACGGTTCGTATCCTCGTCGACCTCTTCATCTCTCGTCATGGCAAACATCCTGGACTCGGACGCTGGCTCGGAGCGCTTCAGTAGCTATGAAGCCGAGCTGAAGCTCGTGCAAGCCGACCTCAACCAGAAACTGGACCAAATACCAGAACTGTCCGGCGAGCCTCGAAAGGCTGCTGTCCGGGCTGCAGAGCGAGCGTTAGAGGAGGCCAATGAGATAGTAAGTCTGATGCCTGATGAATGACGACAGCGAGGTTCAGTCGCAAGAGACCCTCAACCACACTATCGTCAAAGACCTTCTATCGCAATGTGCTAATAGAGTGCCTCTATGTAGATTGACCAAATGCGCATCGAGAAACCCAACATCCCAGCCCCCGCCAAGTCCAAGATCAATCAGCGCTTCCGCAACTACGAATCCGACATTGACTCTCATAAGCGCAAGCTCAAGTCGCTGTCGGACGACCGCAAAGCGCTCTTTGGCTCCCGATACACAGATGCTCCCAACACGGACGACCAGCTAGAGCAGCGCCAGCAACTGCTCTCCGGCACGGACCGTTTAGAGCGAAGTAGTGGCCGTCTTCGGGAAAGTCAAAGGATTGCACTGGAGACTGAGGATATCGGGCGCAACACGCTAGCGGATCTGAGCAGGCAGAGGGAGACGATCGAACATACTAGGGGAACGCTACTGGAGAGCGAAAGCTATACCGATCGAAGCATCAAGACGTTGCGGGGTATGGCCCGTAGGTATTATCTCCCCTTGAATTCTCTCTGGGCCTGATAGCACTTACTAATGATCATAGGATGGCTACAAATCGGATAATCACAATCGCCATTATCACTGTACTTGTATTGCTCATCGTTGCGGTCATCGTCAGCAAATTCCGGTAGTCCAAGCGTGGAGATCATAGGGTGTTTGGCGTTACGGCGGAAATCGATTGCTGTACTTTTATAATAACTCAGGATGTTCCGAAGAACTATTCTTCTATTAGAAGCGAACACCTGTGCGCGTTGCTAATAAATATCAAGGGTCTAGACCTACATTCATAAACATAGGAAACTCTATATTTTCCCCAGATAAGAGCAATTGTTCGTTCAAGTACCATAGCTCCCGGCAAAACACAGCAAACTCTCACTTCTCGACTCCGAAACATCCTTTGGTTATCCTCGTCATTTCTCATTGATTTCAAGCGCTGGCTCTCCGCACCAAGTATCGCATACCCATGCAAAACGGACAACGAGTGGCGGGGCATGCAGGTGAGGCGTCGTCTAGCCACCATTCAGCGTGCGTCCCCACCCCGCGAGACAACGGCTGCCTAAGGTGACAACTATCCAAATGCATCATAATTGCTATGCGAGTGCCAGCTCGACACCGTGGCAGTGCATACAATTTTCAGCCTTGCCCGTCAAGAGCATTGTACATATACCCAGCTAGGGCGCACCACGAGCTAAAAGCAGGACACACTTTGCGTTCGTCACATCTGAGTTTCTGAGGTATATGATGGGTCTCTTTGCGCTCCGTTTGCCGCCTTCAGATATTTTACTTACAGCCAGTGATGAAAACTAACGCAACTTAGATTTCGGGTATTCATCATGAGCGATGGAGACTATGATAGTGACGATAGCAGTATACACGAGTATGACAGCAGATACGTCGCCAGCGACACCGAAAGAAGCGACACGGACTCGACAGCCGAGGACGAAGACTTCGTTCATACCCCATTGCACGACCCCATCCGGTATATCCGCCTTCTAAAAGTTCTGCCGGCGAAAAAAGGCGTCATGCCCTGCTGCAGCATCCGCCAATTCAAGAAAGATAACGCACCAGAATATCGCGCCCTTTCCTACTGCTGGGCCCCAGAGGAGAGGGAGATCGAGATAAACGATGCCCCATTCGGTGTCCGGAAAAACCTCTACGATGTTCTGGAGCACATCGCTGAGTTCCAGTATCGCAAAAAGGGCTACACCACAGCGTCCTGGTGGCGGATCGACGCCATCTGCATCATGCAAGACAAGGACAACGAAGCTGAGGCGACTCGCGCAGCTGGGAATCATGAAATACATCTACGAAACCGCCGTCGAAACGATAGCCTGGCTTGGGCCCGGCGATAGGTCATCGACGCGGGCGATGAAATATATCACGCAGATCCCTCTATCTACCAGAGATGATCTGGCCGATGACACCTTGACCATCGCCAACGATGACTTCTGCGACGACATCGAAGAGAACTTTGCCCTAGACCCCCGCTTCGCGAAAGCTATTGACGATATCTTCACGAGGGAGTACTGGGACCGTGTATGGGTACTGCAGGAGCTGGCAGTGTCTCAGAACACGACACTAGTATGTGGAGACGGGTGGTTGAAGTGGGATCAGCTGGTTGAATTTTCAATGAACGTGGCGATGGCGGATTTCAGTCGGCGAAGGCTGCGCGAGGCCAAACGGAAGGTGATGGATAAGCAGCCTGTGTGGCTTCTTTCACTGCTATATCGCCATGGTACGCGTAGCCTTACCCTAGCGAGACTCGTTTACCTTTCTAAGGCGTCAAAGGCTACAAATTCAGTCGATTATGTGCATGCGTTGTTGGGTATGGTCACCCGGGGAGAGGGGCAACGCATGAGACCGAACAAGACGACGAAACATGGATGCGAGACGCTTTGTAAGGCTATAAGAATCATGCTTCGGGATATCCCATTGACGAGTAATTTCAATGAGACGAGGAGCGCTAAGGCTTGGCGGACGGCGAAAGCTGGGTATCATAAGCCCTTGGATAAAAGTTCGGATATGCAAAGGAGAACGAAGTCTTGCAAGGGGATTAGTTGTGAGACACTGCAGGCTGCGAGATGGATAGCGGCGATTCTGTTTACGGGGAGGAGCCTGTATACCATGAAGACAAGCGGGCAGATGATACACTTTTATCGCCGGTCAGTGGAGCGACTGGACAGCTGGGCAGAGAATTGGTGAATAGGACTGGACCATTCTACGGAAGGGTAGTGAATCGCATTTTCCTTCTTCGTCTAGGCATTTTCATCTTCAACTGCCGACTTTCCTTGTGTGAAATTTCCAACTTTTACGGTGCCTTGCCACAAGTCGATACACACTCATGTTACTATTCGGGGCGCCCCAATAGGTTTTAATTTTCTAGATATGATGTGAAGTTTGACGCCGTGGAAATCAAGCTGCCTCCTGACTGGCTGGCAATCCAGCAGCTGGGATACTCCTGACAGTGGTATTGGGCGAGCAAGAGTCGACCCAAAGCAGTGCTGCACCCGTGTGCTCAGACCTACGGCCTAGCACTAATTTTTCGATGCTTACGAGAGCCTATCGTGAAGCATAAATCAGCTATTAGGATGCTTCAAACGTGAACTACTCTGCTCGCATCGTACACTTTCTTCTTATCCTTCTCTTTGTCTGCCTCGTTACTCTTGTTTCTCAGTCTTGTGCCTGGCATGCCAGGTGGGTATATGTAGCCACGCTGGTTGCTCATGATTTTGATACCACCCTTCTTGAAAGTGTTGGTATAGTGAGTGTGCCGGAATATCTATAGCTTGACGTCACTTTGCTCCCATGTTGTATCTTCATCAGTGATAATCGAACTTGCGAAAGCGGACGACAAGTCGCTTCCGGCGTGTTGGGGATGTGCCGTTTCTTCTATAGTTGGTGCATGATGTGTGACGATCAAGATCTTCCTTTGCTCATGCTGTCTGTCCTGTCTTTGGCGAAAGCTTCATTCTCCTTACGGATATCAACAACCTGCCCTTTCAACCATGCCAGTTCAGTGTCGAAAACCGCGTTATGCGAATCAATCGTCCAGCCCTCAATCTTCCTGAAGTGATTGAGTGCTGTCTGTACCCTTGGTCTAGCACTTTCGGGGATTTGAGACCAAAGCGTACACCCCAAGATTGAGAAGGATGATTTTGGGACATCGTAGCGAGTTTGATGAAGCAAGATCAACTTTCCTCCTAATACAGGCTCCGACTCTAGTTTTCTGGCATTTGCTAGACCAGTCGAATAGCCAAGCTCATAAAACTCGTGATTTCCCAAGACAAGAAACACTTCCTCGAATTGGGCGGTTTGTTGGGCTAAGAAGGAAAGGTAGGAGTTATAGTCGACCAGACGGCCGATATCACCCCCAAGAATTAGGTACGGGGCGGAGGGGGGTATAGAGAAACTGGAGTATTGTTGCCCTACTTCTAGATGGAGGTCGGAGAGGATTTGGAATGATTGCGAGGCAGAAGATGATTTAGTGAAGAAGGAGCGGAGCTTTTCCATGTTAGATGAGGTTTTGGCTAACATTGGTCGCTGTAATATTTGGAAGGGCTTGCTCAGTTCTTTTGAGATCTTTCTGCGTATATTGGACCCCCCTAACGCCACATTGATGGCCATTGAAGCTTGAAAGTACGAAGTTTCGCAGTGACCTGGTTGCTGTGCTGTGCGGCACGGGTGCGAGTGGACGTTGATATATTTTGAGAAGCCCCAAACTGGTCGAAGCGCTGTGACAACGCATCATTTCTCCCCACAACGTCTAGCTAGCCACAGATCATGACGAGCAGTCCGCGTAGAGTCCAAGTGCTATGTAGATGGGATAGTCAGGTGGAAGAGCAATGGGAATGAGTGGTGGATCTTATTGGCCGAATAGCCGAAATGCCAAGCCCACGGCCATTTATTTCGACCTCACGAACTTCCAACAATTTCTCCTCCACCACCATCGACATCCGCTTGAAAAAGGTCAACCGCCACCATGCCTTTCGTAAGTCTTCCCGATTAACACTCCTCTAGACAGGGCCTAGATGGCCCTGCATTCTCACGGGAGCCGCTTTTCTTGAGGCGACTCCTAAGGCCATCGAATAGAATGGAGTCCCTGCAAGTTGCTTCGAAGGTTTGAAGCGTCAATTGCTGACTCGGGGTTTCAATGACAGTCCAAGAAGGTCAAGAACGATGCCTACTTCTCGTAAGCTCCCCTTCCCTCCAATCCTGCCCCCTCGCAATCACTCACACCATCACAGCCGCTACCAGGTGAAGTACAAGCGTCGCCGCGTTGGCAAGACCGACTACTACGCCCGCAAGCGCCTCATCACCCAGGCGAAGAACAAGTACAACGCGCCCAAGTACCGCCTCGTGGTGCGCTTCACCAACCGCGACATCATCGCCCAGATTGTGACGTCGGAAGTCAACGGCGACAAGGTCTTCAGCGCCGCCTACGGCCACGAGCTCAAGCGCTACGGCGTCACCCACGGCATCACCAACTGGGCGGCCGCCTACTGCACTGGCCTGCTGCTCGCCCGCCGCACACTCAAGAAGCTCGAGCTGGACGAGGACTTCGTCGGCGTGGAAGAGGCTGATGGCGAGTTCACCATGACCGAGGCCGCCGAGGGCGACGACGGCGAGTCGCGCCGCCCCTTCAAGGTCTTCCTCGACGTCGGTCTGGCGCGCACTTCGACTGGTGCCCGCATCTTCGGCGCCATGAAGGGCGCGTCCGACGGCGGCCTCTACATCCCGCACTCCGAGAACCGCTTCCCGGGCTTCGACATCGAGAGCAAGGAGCTCGACGCCGAGACACTCCGCAAGTACATCTTCGGCGGCCACGTCGCCGAGTACATGGAGACGCTCGCCGACGACGACGAGGAGCGCTACAAGTCGCAGTTCCAGGGCTACATTGACGACGACATCGAGGCCGAGGGCCTGGAGGAGCTGTACGCGGAGGCGCACAAGCAGATCCGCGAGGACCCGTTCAAGAAGGACGAGGACGAGGGCGACAAGAAGACCAAGGAGGAGTGGAAGAAGGAGAGCTTGAAGTACAAGCAGAGGAAGCTCACCAAGGCCCAGAAGGAGGAGCGTGTCAAGGCCAAGATTGCCGAGCTCAAGGCCGACGAGTAAAGCTATACAAAAACTGGTGTCTGTGCTGCGGATGCGATGCGATGCGATCCGGAAGTCTTGAGGGGCTCGTCGGCGTGTGGTTAGCATGGGGTTGGCGTCTGGGATGACAATTTCAATTGCTCGATGAATGAAGCTGTTCTCACTGTTTCTCTCTTCGTGGAGAATTGGCGAGTGTAGCCAATACCAAAAACACAATCAAAGCTCAGATTCCACCCCTTACTATCTCGTGATAGCGTGTCTCATCACATATCCGTGTCTAGCTGCCGCTGCCTTTGTTTGCCGCTTAACAAACAGAAATGTTCCAAATGCCATCGAAGTGCTGCGACAAGGCTGCCTGTGCTCGGCCAATCTCCAATAAGCTCGGACGGTCCGGTCCGAGACCGTGGCAGAGCGTTCGCACAATTCGTGTCCGGATGACGCGAGCCACTTTTTTTGCCGACTTCGGATCCCGAAGGCGTGGGTCCTGGGTTGGGTTGGGATGGATTTTGGCGGAGTTCGAAGGTACATGGCAGCTGGAGACGGCAGTGGTGGTTCAGTGAGGATTCATTGGATGAGGAGTGTTCATATCTTGTAGGGTCAGAACTAGGACCGGACGGGCACGTTAAGGGCGCAATTCATAGTCGCTAGTGATAGGTGCATAGCTATTGCAGAAACGAAGTCATGTGGTTACAATATTCAATTGTAATTAAGTGCAACCAGCAACCGGGCTAGGCCATGTACCGGTACGATAGCAGCTGCGATAACTGTCATAAACTCATGACAGGAACAAGCCCCTTGAACTAGAGCAAAACCTCATAGAAATCCCTTCATCCATACAAGGTTGAACTCTTCCTTCCTTTCTTTTGATGAAAAAACGCCAATGCTCTAGGAGAGAGCAAGCGCAGGCAGATGAAAAGTGCCCGCAGCCGTGCTGAAATAGTGTGGGGATTAGAAGAAGACAAAAAGGAAAACTCGGGCGGATGCAGCATCCGAGCCCTACCCTCCCTCTATGTTAAATAGAAAAAAAGCCTCTTGCGGCATCAATTCCGTTGATGCAAGAGACTTTTAGATGTTGTGATTTGGGTATATCCCCGCTGACGCCGAAACTTGTTGAAAGACGATTTTAGTTCCCCGCTGTACATGCATTGTGGTGTGTGATGGCTCGTTCATGTCGTTAAAGAAGCGGGCATCGAAGTTGATTCGATGCCGGCAAAAGGGGAACCAAAGACTTCTCCTCTACAAATTTTCCCGAGATGGGAAAATCTAGAGGGTGAGAGTCTTGGGCTTCTCCCACTCGAAGCTCTGGTCCGAGAAGTGACCGTTCTGGGCTGTCCGGCGGTAGATGGGGTTGGTGAGGTTGAGTTCCTTGACAATGACACCCGGGCGGAGATCAAAGTTCTTGAGGATGATTTCGACAAGCTGCTTGGAGGAGTGGTCGGAAGTGCCGTATGTCTCGACGAAGATGGAGAGGGGCTCTGAGACACCAATGGCGTAAGAGAGCTGGACGAGCGCGCGGCGGGCGAGCCCAGCATTGACGAGGGACTTGGCGATCCATCGGGCGAGATATGCTGCCGATCGATCGACCTTGGAGTAGTCCTTTCCGGAGAAAGCTCCACCACCGTGAGCGCCCCAGCCACCGTAGGTATCGACGATGATCTTGCGGCCAGTAAGACCGGCGTCACCCTGGGGACCGCCGATTATGAAGAGGCCGGATGGTTGGATCTAGCGTCGTTAGAGAAATGGGCGATCAGTGGGATTCAGGAACACCTACGTGGTAGACGGTCTTGTCGTCCAGGTACTTAGCAGGGATAACCTTCTTGACGATCTTGTCCAGTACCTCCTTCCGTAGTTGCTCGGTGGAGATGTCCTCGCTGTGCTGGGCGCTGACAACGACGGTGTCGACGCGTAGAGGGATAACGGCACCTCCGTCGTGCTTGTACTCAACGGTGACCTGAGTCTTGGTGTCGGGTCGCAGCCATGGCAGGGTGCCGTCGTTTCGGGCTGTCTTCATGGCGAGGTTGAGCTTGTGGGCGAGCTGCAGAGTCAATGGCAGCAGTTCCGGGGTCTCGTCGGTGGCATAGCCGAACATGATACCCTGGTCGCCAGCACCGAGCTTCTCGAGCTCCTCGTCGTAGTGCAGGCCCTGGGCGATATCGGGCGACTGCTGCTCGATGGCGACGAGCACATTGCAAGTCTTGTAGTCGAAGCCCTTCTCGGAGTGGTCGTAGCCGATGTCCTTGATGGCGCCGCGGATGATTTTCTGGTAGTCGAGGTGGGCCTTGGTGGTGATTTCGCCGAAGACCATGATCATGCCCGTCTTGGCAGCCGTCTCGCAGGCCACCTTGGAGAAGGGGTCCTCCTTGAGGCAGGCATCGAGGATGGCATCGGACACTTGATCGCTGCATGCTGTGAGCAACTGGGCTGCCGGAAGAGTGTACAGGGGCTGGATAAGGCCCTCGGGTGTTTCAACACTCTCGGGAACATCGGCGGTGAAGCAAAATGGCGGGGATATGGCGACAGAGCGGTTGAACGATGGAACGACAAGGGAAGGAAACCTACCAGATCTTGTCCGGGTGGCCCTCTCCCACCGACTCCGAGGTGAACAGGAAGGTCTAGCAAGCGTCAGGGGGTGGTGGTTGCGAACAATGGGACAAGACTCACATCGCTGACAGTGCCGTTGACGCCGTTTGCGGAGACCATTGTGGCGGTTGATGCGGGGGAGATGGAGAGGAAGTGAATGAGGTCCTGGATGCGAGGGCGAGAGTACGGGCGTGTGCGGAGGACGGAGGAGAGGGTGTTGGGAAGTGAAGGCGAAGGATGAGAGTCCGGCGGGGGCTCGCTGGGGGCTTTAAAGGACGCCGGCCGGCGAGAAAAAGTCGACTTGGCCCAGCGGGCAGCGAGCACATCATCCTCCGCCATGTCGGCCTTCGGGCCTGCTGACTGTGCACCCGTCTACAACTCCATCTCACCCACGCAGCCCGCCGCCATCCCGCACCTGGCCGCCCTCACTCACGCACGCACCGACAGCCTCACCGAGTTGAGGCCAGAGGTTCTCTCCAACTCGACGCCTGCCGCCCGGCCCAGCGCAGTGTCGCCCGTCGCTCTTTCACCGAACCGCTAACCCACCGTGACTGACAAAGGGAATCAGCTAGCCGTCCCACGGGCCTGTCTGCCCGCTTGCTCCTTCTCAGACAACACATTCCGCCCGGCAGCCTTGCTCCTCCATCCCCTCACCACACCCCCGCCACACGCAGGGAAACGCCCGGCAAACGCACTCAGCGGCTTCAACACCGCCGGCTCCTCGTGCAGCGTCTCGCGGCTCTGTCGCAGGTCCCCGCCAGCATGTCTGTCGCCCCAGATGGCCGCGTCCTGTCGCCTGGCGAGGTCTACACCGAGAGCGTGCAGCCCGACCGGCCGCAGGAATGGCAGGAGGACCTCAACGTTACCCTCATGTGCCCGGACTGTCGCGAGAACCCGCCGAACCTCGTCGAGGAGTTCTCCTCAGGCGACACCGTGTGCGGCTCCTGCGGCCGCGTGCTGGCCGACCGCATCATCGACACTCGTTCTGAGTGGCGCACCTTCTCCAACGACGACCAAGGGAACGACGATCCCTCTCGTGTCGGAGAGGCTGCGAACCCTCTCCTCAACGGCTCCCAGCTGCAGACCGAGATCTCCTACGGCGACGGCAACGTCCGCAGCCGTGACCTGCATCGCGCGCAGAATCGGTCGAGCCACGACAAAGGCACCAAGACGCTTATGGCTGCCTACAAGGCCATCGGGACCTTCGCCGAGACGTCAAACATGCCGCACATCGTAGCTGATACCGCCAAACACTTGTTCAAGATGGTGGATGATGCCAAGGTCTTCAAGGGCAAGTCGCAAGACGCCATCATCGCCGGCTGCATCTTCATCGCATGCCGGCAGAACAACGTGCCGCGGTCCTTCCGGGAGATCTTCAAGCTCACCAACGTCGCCAAGAAGGAAATCGGCCGCACCTTCAAGAAGCTGGAGGAGTTCCTCTCCACCGTGACCCGCCAGAACCCCACCAACGGCGCTTCAAATGGACAGGGGCTGAACCCTAGCGGTTTCAAGGTCACCAAGAGCACCGAAGCCCACGAGCTCATCGGCCGTGCATGCAGCAAGCTCCACCTGGACAGGTTCATCGGCATCATCGCAGAAGAAGCTGCCGCCCGCGTGGCGATCCTTGGTGTGGCGGCTGGTCGCTCCCCGCTCTCCATCACGGGCGCCTGTATCTACCTTGTTGCCGGTCTTATGGGCGAGTCACGCTCTCCGAAAGACATCGGCGCTGCCGTCGATGTCAGCGACGGCACGATTCGCACAGCGTACAAACTCATCTACCAGGAGCGTGACAAGGTTATCATGGAAGAGTGGCTCGAGAGGGGTGGAGATATCAACAAGATCCCCCAGTCATGATGCTGGACTCTGTGCCTTTGGCTGTTGTTGATGGTATGATAGTTTGCAGGCTCCATCAACGTTATCCATTGCCGGGCTCCTGCGCTCACTATATCCAGGCTAGGATGAAAATTGAGAATGTGGATGTGGATGACGAATCAGACTGCACTACGGAGTTCGGGTTCGACAAGGAGAATCCGGTTTTGTACTCCAAGTGCCATTTAGTTGCGATTGCGATTTCGGTTAGATTGTTACACGAAATCACGAGCGACGGGGAAACATCCGGATCATCGTGCTGCATAAGCACTAGATGTCTTCCTCGGGGTTGGGATGGTGCAAGGGTTTCGGTGCTCTTGCTTAGGCTTCGGAAAAGGGATAGGGCAGGATCATTGTCAAGCGTTGGATACCCGGCACTGGGCTCAAAAAAAAAAGACCCCACGGGCCAGATGATTGCATCAAATAGAAGCACAAAGCTTCACTTCACTTCATTCTCTTTGTCATCAGATTGAATGATATCCCCCGTCTGTAGAAAGATCCAATGAACAAACCCAAAATAAAAGCCTAGTCTACCTCGACTCAAAAACCTTCCCCATCAGCGTCCCTAACGTGCTCAACTCCCCTTCCTCCTCGCTCGTGAAGATGTGCCGCGGGATCTCGTACTCAATCACCGGCGCTTTCTTGATGTCCTTCGCCAACTCGGCATCGATAATCTGCACAGCCTGTCAGCAAATGGCCAAGCGTGTCGGGGAAACAGGGGGAAGGGGTGGAGGGGGCGTAAAACAAACTCACAGTCCCATACCCCATGCCCAAGAAATCCTCAACCTCGTACCCCCGCTTCGTGAACTGCTCGCCCAGCACCCCGGCCAGCGTCGCCACGTTCGGGTGGTAGTGGCCCGCCAGCGTCTCGAGCTCCCACACCGAGCTCTCCATCGCGCGCGTCTTCATCGGGTCCGCCTCGCTCATGTCGAATGGATCCACGTAACCCGCCGCGTGCTTCTCGCGGTGCAGCATAAACGTGCACGCCGGGTGCCGCTTGAACATGTTGTACGCCCACGGCACGACCACCACGATGGCGGCGGGCGGCGCGAGCAGCGACAGCCGGGACAGGCGCTTGATGAAACTGGCGACCAGCGCCGCGGGCAGGTGGGACGAGCTCATGAAGACGTCGAGCAGGCGGAAGAACTTGCTGCGGTGCTTCGAGTGCAGGAGGTCCGCGTCGAGCAGCGAGTAGAGTTTTGGGTAGAAGGAGGGGTAGACGAGGTTCTTTTCGCGCATGAGGTAGAAGAGCCCCGAGAGCGCGAGCAGAGAGATAGAGCCGCCGGCGTTGTAGCTGTCGGTCAGGAAGTCCATGAGGAGCTCGGGCCGCGTGAACCAGGGGAGGATGGAGGGGGTGAGCAGGGTGAGGAGGGTTTTGCGGTGGGGCGGTGTGAGGGGCGTGCGGAGGAGGGCGAGCCAGGCAGTTTGGGCGGTGGTTTTGTGGGCGGCGGGGGAGAGGAGGCGGGACTTCTGGGGGGGAGACGGCCCGTGGAAGGATTTTATAGAGGAGGGGATGGTGGGGGGGTTTGCGACGGGGGAGAGGAGGGTGAGGGTGTTGGTTGTGAGGAGCGGGAGAGAGGGAGAGTCTTGGTGGGAGGAGAATATCGAGCTGTATGAAGAGTGAGTGTACGTATTTAGGAGATAGAAGGCGGTTACTTACGCAATAGCTTCGAATGTGTAGAATCGTATGTCGTCGTATGCTTGAAGGTACTTCTCGCTGAACTCGTCCCGTGCGGAGCTTTCCTCCGGCAGCAATAACAGCCTTGTGACCAGCTTCTCGAGTGTCTTCTTGGCCGCCTTGTCGTCTTCATCTTGCAATTCCTGCTTGACAAGACGCATGAGCAGAGTCACAGCGGTTGACTGCTCGGCTTCCTCTCCGTTTTGCAAGTATAACTCTAGGAGAACTTCGACATAGTTTTGATACCGGGCCTTAAGCCATTTTACAATAACTGCCTCTGCCTCCGGTGTACTTTTGCTCATGCTCATGTCCCCAGCAGACTTCATTCGGCAGAAGACTCGACAGAGAGCTACAGCTGCCAACGTGGAGGGTGGCTGATCTTGCTTTCCTTCCGCCAGTAGTATCAAGGTTGCAATATTATTGTAGTGGCGGCGCGATTCGAGGATTTGCGATTCGAGGCGCAGTATCTTGTCTGCTCCAGTGTCTTCGGCATCGTCGCTGTCGTCGGTGGTGGGCTTCTTGGTGGATTTCGACTTCGACTTTAATTTTAGTTTCGAATTCCGCTCCTGGTCTTCGGCCCCCCTCTTTCTCTTGGTGCCAATTACAGTCATGGTCTTCCTGGCACTGACAGTTGTGCAGACGTGAAGTAGTGTTGAAGATCAAGGTCCAAAAAACTTCGGGAGCGAAATCTTGGCGAAGTCATTCCCCACATTAAAAAGTTCAAGTCACCACTACACTCTCACAACCTCACCGACAATGGCGAACGCTGCAGATAAGGCGCGTTTTTTCTTGGAACAGTCAGTTCCCGAGCTGCGCGAGCTCGAGGTCAAGAAAATCTTCACAAGAGTATGTTCAACGCCCCATTTGTTCCGCATTCCTGACAATTCCCAGGATGAAATCACTTCAATCGCAAAGAAGCGCTCCGGCTTCGAACACACCATCAATTCGCGCGGCTCGCACGCCTCCGACTATGCTCGATATGCCGAATACGAGATGAACCTTGAAGCGCTCCGGAAACACAGAGTTAAGAGATTAGGCGTCAAAGTCCCCGGATTCACAGGCCAGAAGCACATCTTCTTCATTCTACAACGTGGAACGCGAAAGTTCCCCACCGACATCGGGCTCTGGATGCAGTATATCGAGTTTGCGCGGAAAGAGAAGGCCTTCAAGAAACTCAATGATATTCTTGCGAGTTTACTACGACTGCACCCAGCCAAACCGGAGCTATGGATTTACGCGGCGCGCTACTCGGTAGATACCCAGGCGGATTACACGAATGCGAGGAGCTATATGCAGCGGGGATTGCGGTTCTGCAAACACTCAAAGATCATGTGGATTCAATGGGCAAGGCTGGAAATGAACTATATTGCAAAGATTGCGACCCGAAGGAAGATTCTAGGACTTGACGCCGATCCGGCCACGAAAAGCCAGGCCCAGGAGGATACAGAGGATATGATTGTTTTGCCCTCTCTCACGGCCGAAGACATCAATCCGAGTCTTGCCACTACCGATGCTGTGGATCAGACCGCATTACAAAATCTGGCTTCATCCCCCGCACTCTCGGGTGCGATCCCGCTCGCCGTTTTCGACACTGCAATGAACGAGTTCAGGAATAATGCAAGCTTTGCCGAGGAGTTCTTCACCATGTTTAACGACTTCGATGCTTCTACGGTTGCCTGCGTGCGGAAAATCCTGTCCCATGTGCTCGATTATCTCCGCCAGACATCTCCGAAGAGCGCTGCTACTGCGATGTGCGAGTTCCGAGCACCTCTCATAGGCGTACCAGAGACCTCCCCTGATTTTGCGAGCGCTCTTGGACATGCGCTTGATCACCTCAACACCTCACTAGGAGCAATGCCGGAGAGCAAGCAGCCGCTGCTGAGGTGCGCTATACAGTGGATCCTACCCCTGGTACGGAGTGGGGAAATCACGGACTCCGGGATCCAGAAGGTTCTCTCCTCGTCACTACGGAAGTTCTGCCGAATCATGGGAGAAGAAAACCCAAATGCGCTTGTAGAACTTGCAGCGGTCCTCCGGAAAGAAGGTAGAGCGGACGACGCTGCCTTCTTAACGAATTTGATTACACAAATGCAAAAAGTCTGAGAGATCTTTGCTGAGATTACATTCAGCACTCACCAAACGAAGTGGAAGGAATTTCCGAGATTAAAGTCCAACAACATGCTGGGAATCGACCTGCGTGGAGGGCGACCAGAAAGCGATCCAGCAGGATAGCTAGTCAACCAGACTCAGGATAGTAGTATATTTTTTCCTTCGCTAGTACAAAAGCGAGAGCAGTATCATGCCCAACGATGTTGAAGACTACCAATACGAGCAGGCCGATTCCCTGGGTGCTAAATCATGAGCATGGCGTCAACGTTGGGGGTGAGGTTTCGATGTTAATTACAGATCTAAACACCACTCGGCTATATCCGCTGGTTGCAGTACACTACAACTAGTGGAGGGAGATCGATGGATTTAAACGCCTTGGACTCTATTCTAAGGACGGAGGTCAAGGAAACTGACTAGAATTACCTGAAAACTGAGTATATAGCTCGACACGGTTCAAGCTTACAATAAACGAACCATGTTCTATTTTTTCTAAAGCGTCACAACTCAAGGCACGTGATTCGCTACGGTACATGAGGATATTCTCTTATCACAGTTTGAGCTCACAAGAGGGTAGCCTCAGCGGGTCGGCGGCCCTCCCTGCTAGCATTCCCGAGTGGCGCTAAAGAGCGCCGAAATCCTACTTTACTCTAGAGAAAAGAAGATATACAGAATTGTCTATGCAACGTACATGTACCTAAGTATTTCCAAGCAGCATATTTTAAAGTAGCATATTTCTAAGCAGTATATTTCGAAACAATCTAAATTGAAAAGCTGAACCTATCTATATAGAAAAGTATATATAGCAGGCTGTAAGGGACGGAGGCGGGTGGGGAGGTGGTAGACAACTTTGCTTCCAATACCCGAAAATAACTTGACTTATAGACTAGTACTTAGCCTTATAGCGCCCTTACTTAGCAGCAGCTCAACAATGGCCGAGTAGCCTCCCTGCGAGGCTGCCTGGAGCGCGTTGCCGTAGCATCCTCCTTGCGCGTTGACGTCGGCGCCATTGCCTAGCAGCAGCTCAACAATGGCCGAGTGGCCTTCTCTAGAGGCTGCCTGGAGCGCGTTGCCGTAGTATCCTCCTTGCGCGTTGA